TTTCTCTAATTGTTGTTATTTATGCAAGTTTACGGAAGGTGTCATGCTGCATCTTTGGTACATTTCTTTTATTTGCTATCGTATTCGTTTCCAATTTTACGTGTCCCTGTTGTTCACTTGGGCTGAGTGTAACTTTCCACTGTGTAAATTCATCAGTTATTTATCCGCCCTCCCACGGATGGGCATCTGGGCTCTTTCCAGGCTGCAGGACAGTTTCTTGGGCGTAGATACCTAGGAGTGCAATTGCTGGGCCATGAGGAATGTGAATATTCAACTTCATGAGATGATGAGCTGATATACTGAAAACTTTTCCAGAAAGTTAGGGCGGGGGGAGTGTCTCATGAAAATCAAAGGGATATCAGTACTAGAGGAAAGGGACCAGAGGGAGGGAAGAAGAAAGGGAAAATACTTGGAATGATACCAGCCAAAATATTTTGTGCAAATACAAATACTTAACAAGGAATCCCACCATTATGTGCAACTCTAATGCACCAATAAAAAATTATGGGGGAAAAGGTTTCCATTTTGATTGTATTTCCTAGAGATTCTTAGGTGACTGTTTCCTCTTCATTGCTTCTTTGATTGTTTTTGGTTCTGTTTTTTTTGTTGTTGTTGTTGTTATTGTTATTAGGGTTTGGGGTATTTTTGGTTCTGTTTCTATTTTGTTTTTGTTTCTGTTTTTTGTACTGGGGATTGAACCCAGGGGTGCTTAACCATTGAGACACATGGTTTTTTGGAAAAAAAAAAAAGCCCTTTTTATGTAGAGGCAGGTCTTGCTAATTTGCCTAGTACCTTGCTAAGTTGCTGAGGCTGGCTTTGAACTTGTAATCCTCCTGCCTCAGCCTCAAGCTTCTGGAATTAAAGGAATGTGCCACCACCCTGGTGCCTCTTTGATTCTGTTTCTTGAAATTTCATGTCAGCTTTACAAAAATGTTTAAGTCATGTTCTCAGCCTAACACCTGAGCAGCATCTCAGCTAAATCCCTCCACATGGAAAAGAAAAGGGGTTTTTTTGGTTTTGTTTTATCGGTTGTTTTGGGGTTTTTGTTTCTGTTTTTGTTTGGTATCAGGGACTGAACCCAGAGGTGCTTTACCTTTACTACTGACCTTTTTATTTACCAGCCCTTTTTATTTTTTTGTATTCTGAGACAAGTTCTTGCTAAGTTGCTGAGGATCTCGCTTTGTTGCCAAGCTGGCCTCAAACTTGTAATCCTCCTGTCTCAGCCTCCCGGGTTGCTGGGATTACAGGCATGCACCCCTGCACCAGCAAAAGAAGAGTTCTTGATGAGCACAGATAATAGGAAGAGCATCTAACCAGAACAAGGACCCACCCTGGTCCAGACATTGGTTCAGACTAGTCCAATGGAAAAGAAAAGTCTAGAAGCTGCTTCACTTTTGGCAAATACATCTACTCCACACTGAGTCCCCCCTTTGGTACTTCATGCATGATCCTGTCTTATTAAATGAGACAACTTGCAAGCCCCTTGAAGACAGAGTAGAGATCTTATTCATCAGTATGCTCCTCACATTCTGTCAATATTTATAGAAATGAATTGGACTCTACAGTGATCCTAGCCTGATATTAAGATGTTCATTACAGAAAGATTAGTAGAAGTCCAGGCACAGAGGCTGTTCAAAGCTGACAGTGATTGATTCTAACCAAAAGTTAGGAGCTGCAGAAAAATTCTTAGGTAGTGATGTTGGAGCTGGGTTTGAAGGATGAATCAAGTAATCAAGAGGAAAAGAGAATAAAGAATATGCCTAAAACAATTAAGATTCAGACATCTTGACTTTCTGGTTTTCTTCTGTTTCTCAAATTCCCAAAATCTATTTCCTGCCTCTGGTCATGCTAAAACACCAAAAACAGGGAACCTGTGGATCACTGTTAAATGTGCATTGTCTACATTTATTTGTTTGTCCCACCCACAAACACCAACAACATGCGCCTGGTCCTGTGCTAAACTCTGGGAATATAAGCACGGACAAGATGGTCTCAGTCCCTGCCCTCACCTGGCTCCCTGTCTTTAAGGGCAGACAGAGGATTAAACAAAGCAGTTGACTCGGTCTGCCCATCAAACAGACTTCCATCAGCCTGGGGGAGCCCCTCCCCTCCCCAAAACATTTTCGGTAAATTGTGCAGGATTAAAGAAATAACTGCCTGCAGCGTAATTAAAAGAATCCTGACCAGCATCTCAGGTAGGCAGGCGGTTGCTCAGAGCTGAGAGACCCAAAAAATCGGGTGCTTCCTACATAATAACCTCCAATCTGATACTTGATAGCTGCTGGTTTCCAGAGTCAAACAAATGTCAGAATTTTATGAAGGAAGGCAGGAAGCAAATAAGGGGGCAAGGATTGGGGTCTAGGCCTCAGGGGAGCTCAATTAGTGAGCCAGATAAAGTTAAACTGAAAGGGCATGTTCTCAGTTTCCTAGAAAGCCAGCTGGAAAAGATGCCAATCCTTAAGCCTCTGTCACTCAAAAGATTAACAGAAGAGACCTAGGGGTGCCCAAAGGGAATTCTGCAACAAGCCAGATGTTTCTGTTCTTCCTATGACGCCACCGATCTCAACCAGAGCCACACTTGTGGGGCCACCAAGAAGCCGGAGTCTTCTGGAATAGGTTGAAGTTCAAATATAAGCCTTTATCAATATAGACACTTAAAAACATTGTTAACACTTTCTCTGCAGAATTTCCTGATGCCTCTGGGTTCAGAATTTTCTCACTGAGCCCTCTGTCCCTTTAACAGGAATGGCATCCCTGGTTGGATGAAAACTCCCTGCAGCTTCTGGATGGTGTGGAAAGCATACAACCTTTAAATCCATATGAGCTGGGCTTTGGCTCCCAGCGGCACATTTATGCACCATGAGTAGTTCAAGCACAGGTTAGTCTCCATGAGTCTAGCTTCCTCTTCTGCAAAATGGCATGAAAAACCACCCACCTTCTCATTTGTTCTCAGGATCAGAAATCATGTGAAGTGCCCAGCCCAAAAGTTCATAAAACTCATAGATCGTAGTACCTATTGTTGCCTATAGTGCAACAAGATATATACCATATAGTAAAGATGCCAGTTTTCTCTTGGAACTTTCTAACCATTAAGTGTACATGTTCCTCTGTACACATGGGCGTGTGTGTTTAAGAGAAAGAATGGGAAAAGAGAACAAGGAAAAGAGCTGTTCCTACTGTGTTCCATCACTTCTAGCAAATTAATAAGCTAAAGAAGTTGGAGGGAAACCTTAACCAAAATCTCTGCTTTCCCCCAAAGTCCCTAGCTTTCCCCTAAATGTTGCTTCCTCCAATTTCAGGAGGCAGGGAAGGAGAGCCATATGGCTTGAGACGTTAGACATGCCCAGCAGCAAATGAGCCCCCCACCATTTGTCTGAGGGCCTCTCTCCTTTCGACCCTCCTGTGGGCGGGCATCCAGATTTCAGTCGGGGTGCTCTGGTCTGCATCTCTGTCTTGACTGTTCCTAATTATTGGAAGGAACGCTGTGGATCGCCTGACCTCAGAGTTTAAAGAGCTTCAAGTCCTAATATCAAACCAAGCAGCTTCATTTAAAAGGCATCCTCATCTGCATCCATAAAAGTCACTCCCAGAGCCCTGACTTGCCCCAGCTTTGGGAATGCCTGCTGTCGAGGATTTATGACACGCCCTGGATCTAATCTGCCGCACTTTAACTGCTGCTGTTGCACATCTGGTCATAAAAGCAAGGGCCAGCCCAACACGGGGACAAACACTTTTCTTTCCTAAGTGGCTGCAAATCTGATCTCACAGTGATAGCTGGGCTCAGATGTAATCGGCCAGCATATGGGCAGTCATTAAGGCTTGTCCGGCTTTGCAAAGCTTTCCCTCCACACACGACAGCTATAAAGATGATTCTCATATAGAAAAAGCTATGAATAAAGAAGCTGCAATGTGAACAGGTGGTAATGGGACTAGTCATCCGGGAAACAGGGCTGAAGACTACCCAGGAAAGGCATAAGTTGGCCAGTCTTGTTTTCACAAAGACCCTGAGCTACCTTCACGGTTGGGACTCCCAGCTGCACTGGGAGGTAAGCGGCTATCCCAAAAGACAACTGCCTTGACCAAAACCGATGCTTGGCCAGAGATTGCCTGGATTGTTTGGCCAAACGAACCACTAGGTGGTTTAATAGTACATTTCTTACGGCAGTGAAATTCTTTATTAGACCAATTGGAGGGGGTAGGGAGAGTAATAATCTAGACCAGAAATGAACACAATGCTGTCGGTTCCAGGAGATTTTACAATGCCCTGGACAGCCTGTCCTGTGCACAGAATTGGCACGTTTCGTGTCGTTCAGAAACTCCAATCGGACCAAGGTTCAACAAGTAATTCAACCTCTGGGCGCTGAAACCAGGGGAAGAGACCCTTGAACACGGCGCAGCTCTTCGCAACCTCTCCACAGCCCCCCACCCCTGCCCCTCCTCCAGGGCTGTGCCGGCAGGAGAGAGCATTAAAATTATCTGCTGTGGGTTTTACGAGCAGCGATCGCTTTTTAAAACAACAACAACACAAGGTCCTTGTGTGGCTAGCGGGTAACCTAAAACTCTCCAGGCAGAGCTGCCCCCCGCCGCCTGCCAAGAACGCCAGCGCGCCTGGACTGGCGCAGTGTGAGACCACAGGGAAGCCCTACTCGAGCCGTGAGCGAGCTTCCCTCGGACACAGGAGGCGCCTGTAAGGGTTCTGGTGCAAAATGCCATAGAAGAGACTAGGAAAGAAAACCCACCAGTGACAGTTCGCAGGGTGTGTGTGGGGGGGGGGGGTTCTGTGTTGCCAGAAATGGGTGGAGGAACGGGAGAAAATTTTATTCTTGCAACTTCGCCAAGAAGCCCGCCCCGGGACTGGATAGTAGACGGGGAGCGGGGGGCGGGGGGGGGGGACAAGGTCTGACACCTCCCTCCCTTCCCCTTCCTCCCGCCCCAGGGATGAGCGACAAAACGACCTCCTCTCCCTCCGCAGGTGGGCTCGCAGCTCGGGGCGCACTTACCCTGGGGCCCGTGGTGCGGTGACCGCGAGCTGGGGACAGCTGCACCAACACTAGCAGCAAATGGGGCGTAAGCAAGCGGACGCAGCGCGCGGGCAGCATGGTGCCAGCTGGGCCGGGCAGCCGGTAGCGGGCAGGGGTCGTGGGCTGGGCGGGGCACACACCGCGCCTGCCTTCCTACGCTTGGCGCCCTCGCGGTGGCGGCGGCGACGGCGAACAGGCAGCGGGCCTGCGGCGGGGTCTGGCGGAGGCTGCAGCCAGAGGACACTGTCGGTCATGAACAGCGAAGGCGGGGAGCTGGAGCGCGAGCGTGTGCTCGACGCGCGGCTCACGCGGCGCTCGGCCCGGCCACGGCTGCAGCAGGTTGGATGCCTGAGCCCGGGCCATGGGAATTCCCGTTATAAACCCCGGGGAGGAGCGGGGCGGGGCCCGGCGGGCCTGACTGACGCGCCGAGAAGCCTGTAGCGACCGACCCTCTGGCAGGTGAAAGCCAATGGGAGAGGGGCAAGAGGGGCGGCTCGTGGTCAACCCCCCCACTGAGGAGCGACACTCCTATGCTCCGCCCGAGTGGACTCCAGGAGAGACTGGGATAAAGAGTAACTTTCTCTTGGCTCCTCCGCCTGCCGAAACCTAAGAGAGCTTCAGCAGCCTTAAACCCACCAAGAATACTCACCTGGCTAATAATGAAGCCTTAAGCATTGTAGAGTTCTTGGCTCAAGTGCTTGAATTCTCACAACAGCCAGAAGAAGGAATTAGGAAAAATACTCTTAGTCCCATTTTTCAGATGACAATGCTATCGCACAAAGGCGCTGATGAAACAACACCCAGGGCACAGAGAAATCACCAGGTGACACTCAAGGGAGGACTGTGACCTGCACTGGAGTGAGGCGTGGGAGCATTCATGTCTTTCAGAGTTCTCTGGGGGTGACACCTGAGTTCCACAGCAGCTGCTGGGGAGAATTCTCGAGGGGACAAGGTGAGGTAGCACCTGTTAGGGAGAGCTCCTGTACGTATGGTCCTGAGCACCTGTAATCCTGTGGTTCCAGTGACCTTGGATTGGAACGTAGGTGTCCTGGCTACCTGCTTTGAATTGGAAGGCCATGGGACAGTTTTTCTGTGGCCTCACAGTCCTGGAAAAAAAGTGGTCAAAGGCTGGGCCCATTTGATGGAGAGGAAAAGGCAGTCTGAGGATGCAGAGATCCCACAGATGGATCAGAGGAAGGAGAGAGATCTCCCGAGTGCCCGCTTGGAGAAGACAGCTCAGCAAAGGGTCTTGCCAGATGTTCAAGGACTCTGCCCAGGGCCAGGGTCCCACAGGGCTGTATCACACCAGCTCCTCAACAGCACAAGGTGGTCTGCTGCACTCACCCCAAGAAAACCATGATTATCGTATCTGGAACATATAACCTTCAGTGCTTTATTTCCCCCCATATGGGACACTGGCTGCATGGGGAAGGATTCTTTTCTCCAAGCAGATTGTAAAACGCTTCCTCCTCCTCCTCCTCCTCCT